AAGCTACCCGACCACCTCGTATCTGTCATGATCTCCATCAAGAGGTGATCAAGTGTTTCTTACACACCTGTGGGTGAGAAACTCATTTGAGATAACTGGTATCAAACATATGTGTGAGAACGAATTCCAGGCCCGTGATTGGCTACTCCATGGTGATGACCTGGGTCAGATGATGGCGGACTACTTTCCTGTTTGTAAGTCATTCATAAGTTGCTCGTGCTTCATTCGAATGTTCACCTACGTCTGTATTGAACAACAGGACCGTGTAATTAATAATAAAAATAAACAAACTCTTCCTCGTCTGCGAGTTTGTTTGTTATTATTATTAGTTACATTATCTGTTGTTATGTCAACATTTATCGTTTTGTTCTGACTGTAAACCCCCTGGATGCCACAGCGACACATATGTCCCTCCTCTTCAACCCTCACTTCGAAATCGAATAAAATTTGAAATACATCACGCAGACTAATACACTTCACAATTTTGAATTCCCCCTTCTGTTATCATTTACTGTCATTTTAGGCAATTCAAAATTACTGAAAGTGACTGAAAGTTAGGTACATTGTAAATCTCGCCTAATCACAATTCACGGCGTCATATAAATATTTACTGTGTGTTTGAATATCGGATATTTACTCGAATAATTAAAGTAGAAAAATAGCATATTTGCGATCACGGGTATCAAATCAAGGTCGCCGAAGTGTACGTAACGCCATATTGGATTGTGTTTACAAAATGCCGGTTATGAGACGCCTATTCGATCAGGTATATTTTAAACTCAGCTGCTATGCATGCATCCCCGAATTCCTCATACATTTTCGAAACAATGGATAAATGGTCTTTGTCACCAATGCAAATTATCTAGATGAAATCATGCGAAATAAATTAGGTATGGAAACGAAAACTGTGCTCGGAAAACTGCACTTGCTGAAATGTAAACAAAGCAAAATTCAGCTTTTACACCGTGTAGCATTTTTTGAGGTACTGTCGTCCATTTCTTGCATACATTGGCTCGATCACGCGTTTGAGAATATTCATGGGAAGAGTATCGTTGCACTAATTATGGAATTACACATATATACATTACAATGATGTGGTAAATTCAACAGAAGCCGTAAAAGTTTCCGTCGTGTGTGACGTCATGACTGACGCTAAATCACGCACAACGATGACGGTAGTTATCTGCACTTCTGACAAATTCTATTTGTTACATTGGAAAACGTGGTAAATAAATAACAGTACGCAGATTGTCAGAATGTTTCTGATTGATTACGTGACACATTCATGTGTATACGATCCCTCAATCAACGAAAACCTCCTCTGGAAATCCCGCGTACTGTTGTCAGTGAACACGCCATTTTGTAAAAGTCGGTCACCGGTAGTGATGTCATACGGAAGTAAACATTGTTGTACATATTTGGTAATTTCTTTGAGGTGTAAACTTTGGCACCCAGCGTCTTCTTGGTTTTTGTCTAGTTTGCATTTGCATCATCGCCTTGATAATCCACAGATAGGACGGAAACCTTTTTGTGTAGGGTCACATTATTTATGAGTAGTAAGCAGTACATAGGATGACGTTACTTATGACAGTTCTGTTATGTATTAATGCGCTGCTGCAATCATGAGAATAGACAAAATTCATCGGTTCGATGCTAAAAAGGTGCGATTTTAGGGTGTGTAAGAAACAGATTACTGCACTCGTGCCTGTCAGATACCATTGATCTTACAACTTGTTGTTACAAAGCGTATCTTACAACTTGTTGTTACAAAGCGTATCTAACTCGCTTTCGCTCGTTAGATACGTTTTGAATCAACTCGTTGTAAGATCAATGCTATCTGACAGATACTCGTGTAGTAATCTCAATATCTGTCATGATCTCCATCTAGAGGTGTCCGTGTGTATCTGCCTTGATCTCCATCAAGAGGTGTCCGCGTGTATCTGTCATGATCTCCATCAAGAGGTGTCCGCGTGTATCTGTCATGATCTCCATCTAGAGGTGTCTGCGTGTATCTGTCATGATCTCCATCTAGAGGTGTCTGCATGTATCTGCCATGATCTCCACGTACGCGTAGAGGGGTCCGTGTGTATCTGTCATGATCTTCATGTAGAGGGGTCCGTGTGTATTTGTCATGATCTCCATCTAGAGATGTCCCTGTGCTTCTGCCATGATCTCCATCTCAAGATGTCCCTGTGTATCTGCCATGATCTCAGTCTAGAGGTGTCCGTGTCTATCTCTCATGATCTCCACCTAGAGGTGTTCCCGTCTGTATATGCCATGATCTCCTCAACTCGTTGTAAGATCAATGCTATCTGACAGACACTCGTGTAGTAATCTCAATATCTGTCATGATCTCCATCTAGAGGTGTCCGTGTGTATCTGCCTTGATCTCCATCAAGAGGTGTCCACGTGTATCTGTCATGATCTCCATCAAGAGTTGTCCGTGTGTATCTCTGTCATGATCTCCATCTACAGGTGTCTGTGTGTATCTGTCATGATCTCAATGTAGAGGTGTCCGTGTGTATCTGCCATGATCTCCATCTAGAGTCGACTATGTGTATCTGTCATGATCTCCATCTAAAGGTGTCATGATCTCCATCTTGTATGGCTGCTGACGGTTTCATCACAATTTGGCTGCTGGGATCAGCATCACTGTATGGCATCACTTTATGAAGTCACTGTATGACATCACTGTATGGCATCACTGAATGACGTCAGTGTATGACATCACTGTATGACTTCACTGTATGTCATCACTGTTTGACGTCAGTGTATGACATCACTGTATGGCATCACTGTATGACGTTACTGTATGGCATCACTGTATGACGTCAGAGGATGACATCACTGTATGACATCACTGTATGACTTCACTGTATGTCATCACTGTATGATGTCACTGTATGGCATCACTGTATGACATCAGTGTATGGCATCACTGTATGACGTCAGTGTATGACATCACTGTATGACACCACTGTATGACTAACTGTATGTCATCACTGTATGACGTCAGTGTACGACATCACTGTATGACGTCACAGTATGGCATCACTGTATGACGTGACTGTATGGCATCACTGTATGACGTCACTGTATGGCATCACTGTATGACGTCACTGTATGACACAACTGTATGACGTCACTGTATGGCATCACTGTATGGCAGCAATGTATGACATAACTGTATGGCATCACGTAATGACGTAACTGTATGGCATCACTGTATGGCCTCTGATGGTGGAAGCACAAAAGCATCGAGGCAATCAATAAGTGTTGGGCTAGATAATGTTTAACGCGGCAGTCAACAATCCTCCATCTATATTCATGTGACTTGTAAATCGAATCTGGACAAGCCAAACCAATGCCTAAAATCATGAGTAAAGATCCACCCCATCGGGGCACATTGAAACGTTGGAAGGCAAGTGACCGAGCCTGACTACCCAGATAATAATGTCGCTCTATCAGTGTGTAGCTTATAGGAATTAAAAAACACACGATCCTGCGCATCAGTCATTGAGCTAGGTAGATCGTGGTATTGTTTGTAACGTCATAACAAATAGTCTCGTAAACAAATTTTATAATTTCCATCTTGCCATTTAATGGGCTTCAGTGGCTGCGATTTTTAACTTTTTGAAGGAATACTGTTGTCCAAGAAGCATTTATGCAAGAAAATGTCAGCTTTATGACGACTGCGTGAAAATAATGTTTGGATCAGACAACCCACCACCACCATTACCACAACTGTCACAAACACCATCACCACCACCGTCACCACCACCACCATCATCACCACCAACATCACACCACCATCACCACCACCACCATAACCACACCACCATCATCACCACACCACCACCATTACCAACACCATCACCACACCACCACCATCATCACCATCATCACCACCACCATCACCACACCACCATCACCACCACCACCACCATCACCATCACCACCACCATCATCACCACACCACCACAATCACCACCAACACCACATAACCACACCACCATCACCATCACCACAATCACCATCATCACCACCACAATCACCACAACCACCATCATCACCACCACCACCACCGTCACCACCACCACCGTCACCACCATCATCACTATCACCACCACCACCACCAGCGTGACCACCACCACCATCACCACCACCGTCACCACCACCATCATCACCACCACCATCACCATCACCACCACCATCACCACCACACCACCACAATCACCACCACACCACCACAATCACCACCAACACCACATAACCACACCACCATCACCATCACCACAATCACCATCATCACCACCACAATCACCACACCACCACAATCACCACCACCATCACCACCACCACCACCACAATCACCACCAACACCACATAACCACACCACCATCACCATCACCACAATCACCATCATCACCACCACAATCACCACCACCATCACCACCACCACCATCATCACCACCACCACAATCACCATCATCACCACCACAATCACCACCACCATCACCACCACCACCATCACCACCACTGTCACCACCACAATCACCACCACCATCACCACATCACCACCATCACCACCACCACCATCACCACCACTGTCACCACCACAATCACTACCAACACCACCATTACCACATCACCACCAACACCAACACCGTCACCACCACCATCACCACCACCATCATCACCACACCACCACCAACAACACTACAATCATCACCACCACCGTCACCACCACCACCATCACCTCCACAATCACCACCAACACCATAACCACCACCGTCATCACCACACCACCACCGTCACCACCAACACAATCAATACAAACAACAGCAACACTATCACCACAATCAACACAAAAATCAGCACCATCACCACCACAACTAACACAAACATCACTACGCCGCTACATTACGTCGTCTGGCTTTTGAGGAACTTATTTTACTTCTACTTTTTTGTTCCCTATATATCAAAACAAACAATAATAATCGTCACAATGCCTGACATGACTATTCTTTATTATCCACAGTTGCACAGTGCTTATGTTGTTGTACACGTAATGAATATGTCAAACTCCTGAGAGCCTTCGGTTCATGTAGTGCATGGTACCCATCACAGTACAGAGTTCTGACCTTCCTCGCATGCTCTGTCATCAATACAAACACAATGGTTCTGAATCAAACTGAATACAGCATGCAGTATCGGTATCCAAGTCAAGTAGTGTGATACATTCACGGCCACCGGCTCATGAACATGAGAGAAAAATATGTTCAACGTAACATGCTACTCGTGTTACAGTGGGCGTCCTGAAGGATTCATGTGTTGTTTTTAAAATGTTGTACGAAAATAAAAATATTTTAAAAATACATTGACTTCGTTTACTTTTAATCGTATCATTTTCAGTTTCTGGGTGATGAAATTCAAAATTGAAACGATTGCAATAAGATATCATTGTTTTCAACTTCTTAAATAAATGGACAGATTGTACAGCCAATTAATATAATGATTGAAATATTTAGGCGATTTTTGAATTGCCTTAGTGAATCAGGCCATTTACAAACTGCCTGAAAATGGCAAACAATTTGCCCAATTGCGTGGATCGATGCTCATGACATCAATCACTGTATTGTCTTTTCCAGACTCCATTATTTACAGACCGCCATCATATCGCTGACTGCGGCGTTACACAACAAACAAACAAATTGAATTATTTTACACTTTGATCACTTAATCGTAGCAGAAGAGCTTCAATGTTCAGTGATTTACAAAGAGCACAAGCGATTGTAAAGAAAGTCATTCGAGGCGAGTTTGCATCTTTCGTCTAGGACTTGAGCCATGTCTCAAATACGACATAATTCTTCGTCAACCAGTTGATATTTGTAGTTGTTCTATCCAGAACTTCCTTAAACGCCGTCCCAGCCTCGGACACATCATCGCCACTGTTCATAAAGTCCTCCACCTGAAACATTGATTCATTGTCCTGAACATGACCATTGTAAAGTCAAGGGTTTGTATATACTGCGTCCATCTATCACCCGTGAATACATACAACCCTCGTGAAGGTCCGGATTAGAAGCTTTTCGCATATACAGTGAACTACGGTTATAACGAACACAAAGGGACTACTAATTTTAGTTCGTTATAACCGTAGTTCGTTATAAGTACATATACAGCATGACTACTGCAAGTAGTCGCGACCAAAAAGGAAGTTCGTTATATCCGTCGGATCGTTATAAGCGTGTTCGTTATAACCGTAGTTTACATAGAGAATCTCACCAGAGTGTCTTTTGATATCAAATATATCAAACACGAGTTGATAAAAGTGGGAAAACTCCGAGGCTTGCCGAGGATTTTTCCCACTATTATCAACGACTGTTGATATATTTGATATCAAAAGACACTCTGGTGAGATTTTATTTATCATCCAACATCATATTCTTCCAACTTTTTCAGTTTGTAGACATTAATATGCAGTGTCTTAAGTGTAAAAAGTACTGCTAGCAGCTTCAGTAGCAGAGCCATTAGTGATGTCATTTGAATGTGACGTCATGGTAGCCAATGACGTCACAATGGTCTGCAAAGCATTGTGATGCAATTTCATTGCAGCGATATCTACAGTGTAGATATCGCTTGATCTCACCCAAGCGATATCTCCTGTGGGAGCCAGTTTTGGATGATAATGTAATATATAGCGATGTTTGGCGCGATCGAGAGTTCAGGCTCGCTGATTTGGTTGATTGCATGTCATTGTATTGCGTCAATCACTGGGTTGTTATGTCCGGATTCGATTATTTACAGACGGTGGTCATAAAGCTGGAATATTGCTGAGTGCGGCGTTAAACAACAAACTAACAAACAAGAATGATCGTTTTTCAGGGGATGGAAAAACGTACTGTATACAGCCCCGTGACGCATTCACGAAGGAATTTAAGATAGTAATCTGCTATGTCTAAGATTGCTATAAGTCATTGTCATCATTCAAGCCTCTCGTGCTACAGAAAGCGATACGGGCTTGTAACACTGAAACTCCACGTTACATTAATACGTTAAACATGATTCCCTTACTGCATACGCCCCCAGTGTAGTGTTTTAACTAGCACTTGACAGTATTGTGCTAGAGAAACAAGAGCTGCTTTAACTAGCATCATAATGTACAAGGCGTCAAAAAGTGTCAAACTTTACCGAAGCGCGACAATGCGAACATATGACATTTTGACCACTTGTCGCATTGTCGCGTTATCGCATTGTCGCGTTACCGCATTGTCGCGCTTTGAATAATATGTTTTATTTTACCAAAGGGCGACAATGCGACAACGCAACATTTTTTAAGGTCACAATATGTCACGTTGCAGCATTGTCGCGTTGTCACACATTTTAACGCCTGTTTTAAGCGTTTAAAATACCACAACTTGAAAAGCTGCCCACGCCATCGTGGCACGATGACACGAAATCAGTCCAGCGCCACCACCCAGCTCTCTTTATATACCGGTTACCTAAACAAACATGGAGGACAGAGGACATAGACTCGTTCCCTGTGAATGGGCAAGTTTACATTAAAGGTAGTCATGTAACGCGCATTCCAAGCACTGCTTATACATTGACATTGAGCCGACCAGTCCTCGTTTTAGTCCCTTAATGCAAAGCGCCAGCCAGGGTAACAACAAGTACCATCTTTTTACGTCTTTTGGTATGACGCGGCCGGGGATCGAACCCAGGACCTTCTGCTCTCCAGGTGGGCGCACCACCACTGGACCACGGAGGCGGTCTGAAGGGGTTAGGATTTGTACTAACAATAATCACACCTTCTTATATTCTTGTTCTGTGTTATACTTCTCAGAAATGTCTTGGATTACTCGGTAGAGCCCGGATCGTGTCGTTATTCTGTAAAACAACAGATAGTTATGAAACACTATATCATGTTTGTTGTTATTAACGTCGCACCTAATACTATTGAGGCTATATGACGGAGAGGGCACAGGCGGCCCAGTCGTCTAAGGCGCCGCAATTCGCTGTGCAGTGTTGCGTCCCTTGGGCTCGCCAGAAACCTATGATCGTGGGTTCGAATCCCGGTTCGCCCCGATTATGTTTCTAGGTTTGTAAGCACCATACCCGTGCTCGTGGGTTTCGCCGAAGTGGTAAACGCCCGAGACCTGCATCACTTCGGGCTTTCCTCCCACATTAAGCTGACACGCCGTGATATGACTCGAATAGTGTTAAAAACGGAGTTAAACCCAACTCGCTCACTCACTCACTATATGACGGACACCTGTATATATTAAAGTCTGTACCAGACAAACCAGTGATTGCTAATATGAGCAACGTCCCACGCCGTTGGGGGTCGGTCACACACACACCGAGTCCGGCCACCCGAGTCACCTCGTATGACAAGTGAAGATCCGGGTTATAATTGGTCTTCAGCAACCAATGCTTGTCGTTAGAGGCGACTAACCGGATCGGGTGGTGAGACTCGCTGACTTGGTTGATGCTTGTCGTCGTATCCCAATTGCGTTGATCTGTGCTCCTGATGTCAGACACTGGATTGTCTGGTCCAGACTCGCCTATTTACAGACAGCCGCCATATAGCTGGAATATTGCTGAGTGCAGAGTTCAATAACAACTAACAAATAAATGACATCAAAAGCTTATGTTGCTGGGGACCAATTCTATCAAGGATCCCTCATCATCAGTATTTGGTACAACAGTAAATTGTTGCAATACTTTCATCACGTTTTAAAGCATTGAAAGAATGCATGTTTCATGACACCATTCTCTGGTGCCCATACGCAGTACACTAACGCAATGGTCAACTGGTCCTCTGGAACACTTTACTCTGACAATACAATGGCCAAGTGGTTCTCTGGAACACTTTACTCTGACAATACAATGGCCAAGTGGTTCTCACGGGCACCCTACTCTGACAATACAATGGCCAAGTGGTTCTCTTGGGCACCTTACTCTGACAATACAATGGCCAAGTGGTTCTCTGGGACACTTTACTTTGACAATACAATGGCCAAGTGGTTCTCTGGGGCACCTTACTCTGACAATGCAATGGCCAAGTGGTTCTCTGGGACACTTTACTCTGACAATACAATGGCCAAGTGGTTCTTTGGGGCACCTTTCTCTGACAACACACTGGCCAAGTGGTTCTCTGGGGCATCTTACTTTGACAATACAATGGCCAAATGGTCCTCTGGGACACTTAACATTGCACAATGCAATGGCCAAGTGGTTCTCTGGGACACTTTACTCTGACAATACAATGGCCAAGTGGTTCTCTGGGGCACCTTACTCTGACAATGCAATGGCCAAGTGGTTCTCTGGGACACTTTACTCTGACAATACAATGGCAAAGTGGTTCTCTGGGACACTTTACTCTGACAATACAATGGCCAAGTGGTTCTTTGGGGCACCTTTCTCTGACAACACACTGGCCAAGTGGTTCTCTGGGGCATCTTACTTTGACAATACAATGGCCAAATGGTCCTCTGGGACACTTAACATTGCACAATGCAATGGCCAAATGGTCCTCTGGGATACTTTACACTGACAATACAATGGCCAAGTGGTTCTCTGGGACACTTTACTCTGACAATACAATGGCCAAATGGTCCTCTTGGGCACTTTACTCCGACAATCCAATGCCCAAGTGGTCCTGTAGGGCACCTTACTCTGACAATACAATGGCCAAGTGGTCCTCTGGGACACTTGACTCTGACAATCCAATGGCCAAGTGGTCCTTTTGGGCACCTTACTCTGACAATACAATGGCCAAATGGTCCTCTCGAACACTTTACTCTGACAATACAATGGCCAAATGGTCCTCTGGGGCACCTTACTCTGACAATACAATGGCCAATACATGGTCCTCTGTGACACTTAACATTGCACAATACAATGGCCAAATGGTCCTCTGGGGCACCTTACTCAGACAATACAATGGCCAATACATGGTCCTCTGTGACACTTAACATTGCACAATACAATGGCCAAATGGTCCTCTGGGGCACCTTACTCAGACAATACAATGGCCAATACATGGTCCTCTGTGACACTTAACATTGCACAATACAATGGCCAAATGGTCCTCTGGGGCACCTTACTCAGACAATACAATGGCCAATACATGGTCCTCTGTGACACTTAAAATTGTACAATACAATGGCCAAATGGTCTTCTGGGGCACTTTACTATGCGCAATAGAAAGATCAACTGCTTCTCAGGGACACTTTACTTTGTATAAGAGAAAGTTCAGCTCGTTCTCTTGAACTCTTTACTTTGACAATACAATGGTCAACTGATTCTGTGGGAAATGACCCCGTGTGAAAACAATTGGAAGACGAGTGTTTGACGGAGCAAATAACATACGCAGAACCAAGGCGAGCAAAGTGATGCTTGACAAAGTTCCAGGCGAGCTCCCGTCCCCACCGGCTGTTCGCCACGTATGTGACAGTGGACAACACGTCCTGGCCTTTGACCTCACTTGAATTTAGGGACATTTCCAGCACTCTAAAATAAGAAAGAAACAATGACACTTAAGTGCAAGACATACTCAAAGTCGACAAAGCAATACCTAAGGTGAGTGAGTGAGTATGGTACCCAAGTACCCATGTGGGGAATCGAACCCGGGTCTTCGGCGTGACGAGCGAACGCGTTTACCACAAGACTACCACGCCGCCCCCATATAAGGGCTGGAAGATTGGTACTTACAATATGATCTAAATTCGTCACAATGTTATACCGTTGCTGCGCCATAAATCGGTGTTATAACTACAATTCTGGATGGTCGATGTGGTAGTTTGGTGGTTAAAGCGTTCTCTCGTCACGCCTGCCCGGGTTCGATTCCCACATGGGTAAAATGTGTGAAGCCCCTTTCAGGTGTCCCCCGCCGTGATATTGCTAGAATATTGCTGAAAGCGGCGTAAAACTATACTCACTCACTCTCCAACTCTTCATGCTATTCACAACCGCGGACCCTTACAGTAGAAAATATCAGTGACACTAAAGACGCTAAACGCCTCGCTTAAGGATTAAGAAACGTTTGGAGAGAACGATCGATTGCTACCTTTAAAGAGGGATTATTATCGGGCAATTTGTCTTTCCTCGCAAACACACTTTGTCTGTATTTCAATATTTCTGCATTTTGTAGTTCTGTGTTTGAAACTTCTTTCTGGTGTCGTCAGCTGTGATATCACTGGCATATTGCTAAAAGCGGCGTTGACCTGCCTTCATTCACTAAATAAACGTTAACAACATAACGTCTATCGTTGTAAAACACAGTAATGAACTTAATAACGACGTGCTTACTTTGACATTACAGACTACTAAGGGTAATATTTTATCAGGAAATGTGAAACAAAGACTTGTAAATATAAACATTGTGTGAATTCAATACGTTATGTTTTGTAAATAGTAGTTTACATATATGTGATGAGACGTGGATGAATCTTGAGCTCCGCACAATCACGGTTATGTTTCGATTTTAATTAATTAATTTTTGTTTTATCCCCAAATCAGCTGGATGTGGGAGGAGAGCCCATGGCCATGCCGGTCTGAACACCGAAATGGTGTTTAAAGCTTAGAAACCTAATCAGGACGAGGGGCGGTCGGGTAGCCTAGTGGTTTAAGCGTTCGCTCGTCACGCCGAAGACCCGGGTTCGATTCCCGACATGGTGCAATGTGTGAAGCCCATTTCTGGTGTCCCCCGCCGTGATATTGCTGGAATCTTGCTAAAAGCGGCGTAAAATCATACTCACTCACTCACTCACTAATCAGGATGAAACTGGATCCGAACCCACGATCATAGGTTTTTTGGCCTGCCCGAGACACACAACTCAGCAAAGCGAATTGCAGCGCTTTAGACGGCTGGGCCACCCGCCTCCTCCACTGTAATCGGTATACAGTGGACTCTCTTAATTAGGTTCTTTTATTATGGAAAGGGTTGTGTCGCATTTGTTTAAGATCTGAGTAATTGAGCTTAGTTTTACGTCACTTTTAGCAATATTTCAGCAACACCACGGCGGGGGACACCAGAAATGGGCTTCACACATTGTACCCATGTCGGGAATCGAACCCGGGTCTTCGGCGTGACGAGCGAACGCTTTAACCACAAAGCTACCCCACCGCCCCCTAGAACAAAGATTTAACATCTGAAACAATCCCATCGTCAAAAAGACGTATGTATAATAGTGACACACCCACCTCTGCAGTAGCCAGGGTTCTCTGGTGCAGGACAGAGCCTGTCTCAGTCTGTCCTTCTCCGAGCTGGTCTGCTCCGTGTGATATCTCTCATAGACAAACTGCCAGTGTGCCTGACTCCCGTGTCTAACTGCTGTGCAGTAGAGGGTACTGCGCAGGTCCGGATATATCCTGGAACATGACGAAAACATGTCAACACTCTGCTCGAACAGCACTGGTAAGAATCCATGTTTGAATTCGTTTCATACATGACAACCAACAAAGTATAATAAATTCAAATTGTTAGTTAACAAGGAGCGGTTAGCCAGCATAGTTGTAAAGGAGTGGTGAAAGACGCTTGTTTCTGGGGTCCTCGCTACCAGCGCACCTTACACTACCACCCCAGCACCCCACACACCATACACCACCACCGCACCACACCCCACACCAAGCCACGTGATATTGGCTCGAGCTTACAGTAAAATCCGACTCACTCACTTCAGTTATCAATACATAAGTTACCGTTGCATTTGAGTTAGAAAAGTATTCATAATTGTCGTGATCATTACTTTGACTCTGTGGAATCTCTTTTGGAAGAGGGGCGGTCGGGTAGCCTAGTGGTTAAGGCGTTCGCTCGTCACGCCGAAGACCCGGGTTCGATTCCCGACATGGGTACAATGTGTGAAGCCCATTTCTGGTGTCCCCCGCCGTGATGGAATATTGCTAAAAGCGGCGTAAAACCATATTCACTCACTCACTCACTCACTCTTTTGGAAGAAACAGTATCCGTGGAGTAGCGGGTAGAGGGTCTGCCCGGAGAGCGGACTGTCTGAGGTTCGATTTCCTGCCGCGTCACACCGAAAGACGTTGCCAGATGGTACATGTTGTCCTCTTGCCTTGCTCTGCGTTCGGCATTAGGGGATTAAACAATGTCGGCTCGGAGTTAGGATACCAAACAGGGCCAGTACAACAAAGCTCCCGAACACATGCATGCACCTTGCAATATAAGTGAAATAACCTTGAACGTTACGTACCCTACCGACCTAACCTCTGAATGTCATCGTGTATAAAACCTGCATGTTGATAAATGTACAACTTACGGGTTGTTTGTGTGATCCCCCATCCAGATGGAGAACAGTCTTACAGCTGTGTCTACGCAGTCCTCGTAGTCATAGTTGCATGCCAGCGACACCATCTGCGATATTTCAATCCTACGAAGTAGACCAAGGAATGATAAGGGCTCTTTCCGGCCAAGGGATACACATAATTAAGAAGCGTCATCTTCACAAACCATTATGAACGTTCAAACGAAAGGGAATCAGACCTTGTTCATTTCAGCAAATACATTTTGAGGATTAAGTGCACTTATTTTTTTATCATGAACTTGTTATTTTTCTCAGATGTACAAACAAACAGTACAACATAATTCTATGATAAAATTCGTCTTTGGTCATGGACTTGGTCATGCTTAGTTGTTCCCCTTGTTTGTTTGTTTGTTTGTTTCTTGTTTAACGCCGCACACTCGATGTTTGAAAATATTTGCCTCTTTCACTCATTTAAATCATACTTGAATTTGTCCATTACAGGAGTCCAAAAATAGCAAAAAATGTTGGTAGCCATTTAAATGGCTTGTCACTTATTTTCAGACTAATATTTCAAACCTTTCCTCAACCTTAAAATTTAACATTTAAATCTACCTCCTCCTTATTTTACTGTTAGCGTAAAGTAAAACGACTGTTTGCATCTGCTTGATAACATCCATGATCCTTCAACATACTTTTCGATAGGCGCCATATCCTCGGTGATGTTTGTACCAAGTGCTGTAAAAGGGATGCTGACGGTCTTCTTCATGAAGTCCTAAAATATATAATGATGAGTGTATACAATGTTTACGGCGTCGTGCCATCCTCATGTATTATGTAACTGTGAACACTGGTAATACACACAGTTCAAGGAGGCAAGTGAGTGAGCGTGTGAACGCTTTTGTGTGTTTGTTGTTTAACGCCGTACTCAAGCTGTATGACGGCGGTCTGTAAATAATCGAGTCTGGACCAAACGATCTAGTGACAGACATCGTGACAATCGACCCACGCAATTGGGATACGATGACATGCATCAGCCAAGTCAGCGGGCCTGACCACCCTATCCTATTAATCGCATCTTACGACAAGCATAGTCGCCTTTTACGGCAAGCATGGGATACTGAAGACCTATTCTACCCCGGATCTTCATGGACTGAGTGAATACATTCAGTCGGCACTATTCCAGCTATATCATGGCGGTCTGTACATAATCAGAATTCTACAGGCAAACCAGTGACTGAAATCATGACCTACGGTCCACGTCGTTTAGGTACGAGTGCATGGTGTTACCCATGTCATGCAAGACCTTGACAATCTGATCCATCGCTTTTATGATCAAGTAGATGTAGTGAGGGACCAATTCTAATCCTCACAGGGCGAATGTCTTTCAGCATTTAAACTGAAGACAAAATATACTTAAACAAGTCACCAACACTAAGAGGAGGACTAGATTGGTTATTATTGGCATGTTGGATTAAAGTTGTTCAAACAGCACTTTGGTTGTCTGTTAGACCGCCCATCTTTAAAAGGGAGCACATACTCTTTAAGGTCCTGTGTATGTCCATCCGCAAATAACCAGTGCTATAATTAGATACTTATCGACGAGATGAATTTACTGATTATCTGTCCCGAATGAATTAAAATTCGGGTACCTAGCTTTGGCGATAGGAATAGTTGCAATCTGGTAATCGACTCGAGGCGATTTTGTTTATGTATTTATGTTCTAACTGACTTTATCACCTCAAACATTCCATAGAGTTGGGTACGCTCCAACATAGCGTCCACATAACCAAGTTCCCGGCTGAAGGCTCTCCAAGGAGCGTAATCTAGATCTGTGCTCAGATAATTGACGGTCCGGAGTGCAGTGACCTGATCCAACATCCCTGCCCTGGAAGTACATATACACGTATATAACATTGTGCAAGTTGATACCAATCGCTGATTAATCGCGGCAAACATTACGCACGGAGAGTAGGTGGATGGGTGCCCGAGACCAGCAAGACTGACTTCTGAGATTTTCAAGTGTTTTGGTTCTTCCCCACGCTGTACCACATGTAAAATGTAGGGTCTTTTCGGACATGGGTCTTTGTTAGAAACATCCTTCTCTTTACCCATCAGTTAATGGGTACCAGGTCGGATGAGAGTGTGACTATAAACCTTCTAGCGCCCTATAAGGTAGCTTTGGTCCTTAATTTTTTATTACTATTATTATTATTATTAACAGATTAAAATAAAAATTGCAGCAAAGAGGGTTTGGGTGATCCTGGCAGTCAGGCTGGTTAGGCTCATCATCAGCTCAGGGCCCTTGACCCCTCTACACGAAGCCCAGACAGCGAATGGGACTTCTCCCAGGAAGCGCTGCCTAGTCAAACCCACCCAGAACTTTTCGGAGAATGTGAAGACTCCCCAACACTGCAACCTTCTGCATTACCCAGATCGTCTGAAGGGCTGTATTCCTGGTAGCAAACCCGGGTACTATCCCAATGTCAGTCAACAGATTGGGAGGTACCAAACCTAAGGCACCGAGAACAATGGGGAGTCGGACAACTTGGTACCTGGGATGCAAGCGTGACATTTCGCATATTAGCCATGCTTTTTCCTGAATCGTGTGCACCACACTTGTGTCAAAAGGGACAGAGGCCTTGATAGGTCTTAGGCTCTATACGGGTCTATTCCAAAAAATGGTATAATTGTCATTTTCCATGACGCCCTCTTCATATTCTGAGTCGTACTATGGATAGACCTCTGAGTCAAAACCACAAGCATGGCGTTGACGGTAATTAACGGATCGAGCCGCGTCATTATGTCGCTGAAGATACTGGATTCGTGCCAAAGCTGGGCATCCACTAACAATGTGTTGGACAGTCTTATAAAATTAATCGCATAGTCTACATTTAATATTTACATTTGTATGTAAATTCACACATTGACGGCCCTGGGCAGCGAAAAGGAAGTCTTCTGTTTCACTTTTCAGGCCATTCGACTTCATCCATGCGAATGACTCTGCAGGGTTAGTGTTCTTTTCAACATACTGCTCATTAACTCGATACAGTAGTCGTTCAGAAAGCCCCTCCTTGAAAAACAGTCGGGTCGATTTGACATGGCACTTTGCTTGATTGACATTCATTTCTGTACCATCTGCACTGACATTGAGATTACGTCCCACATCCTTGGCTCGTTTTAGAAAACTGTGGAATGCCTTGTTTTCATCAGGCGTCTTGACATGCTTCACATGCTTCTTTGGTCATTCTGACCTCCATCTGTATAAGTACGCATAGACCTGACCTTTCACGAGATGGCCTGACCTTCCACGAGGTTATTATGATTATTATTGTTATTATTATTATTAAAGTTGATTACTTAAAATGTAAACATCTTTCAGCATGCTGTTGAGGGAATCCTTTTCAGTGACGTTACTCTCGACTGTGTATGATATATCACGCTAACGGATTGTAGCACCTTCTAAATCATGCAGTGCACTTAGTTGTTAGGTGTATGTAAATATTCCAACTTACTTGGCTAAGTTCCAAGCGTCGTTGATAATCTGCGCCCGATTTATTGGGTCTATCATCTGAAAAACGAAAATATACAACTTTGTTTAAGCAGATATCAACATGATTTATATTAAATCCACGTGACAAATTTATATCTTCAAAAAACATATGTTTAATACCCACGTGGTACTACGTGCGCAAGGAAACATAACCTGGCACGTGTGTCATAACACTAGGAAAGAATTTGATTGGCCGATATGCATACTTCTACCCTTCTCGTACTACTTTGATTTGATTTGAATTTGCATTTGAATTTGAATTCGAATTTGAATTCGATTCAGTTTGATTTGATTTGATTTGATTTGATTTGGTTGGTTGGCCGGCTAGTTTGTTGACTAGTTGATTCGAGAGATATTATGTCCTGCAAATGGATCAGGGATACATACATGTATAAAAGATAGTGTTATCAATACGATAAGTCAATCTGACTGATTTCACAAGTCAACAAATATAAAAAGAAAGCATCCAGCAGAGATACCCACTTGCTCAAACATCTTTGACTAACGTCCACCGCCCCCTCCCACCAGCACCCAAAGAAAAGCAGGAGGTACAAGTTATCATATCTGTAAATGCTTTAGTAAAGGAACAGTGCCTGCACATCATTTGACACTATATGTTAAACGGGGCAGTTCACTCTGGCGTTGTATTCCTACGCGAATTCCATTTGTGATGATTCTCATACACATTGATAATTTTAAGATGACATAACATGACACAGAGAGGATTACCGTGTGTTACCGTTTAGACATTATCATATTAAGAATGGAAGAAACGTTCAACTTTATGGATAACAACTTCTGGTTTATTGCAAAAACGAGGTTTCGATGTAGATTCTTACTTTTTCTTACTTACTCAACAACTTCTCGAATGCGAATCAAACAGATAGTAGGAATGTGTCAAATTACCTTATGGTTTGATGACAAAGTGCTGATGATGTTATTCCAGTTCTTGGTGTCGTAGTTGACCCTGAAGAAACCACACTCCTGAATATTCACTAGGATCCATCCACCGTTCGGCACATCCACGTTCAGCTCCACTTCAAAACACGACCATTATAATGTAAGTGAGTGAGTGGGTTTCGGTTAAGGCCGCTTATTTCAGTTATACCACGACGTGATGCAAGTCTAAGACGTTTACCACTGGAGTGAAATCCATAACTAGAAAGCTGAAGTACATAGACATGTAGTCATGGCAACTGGTGGGGTTTCACTGGTATACCTCTGAGACCAAAATAAATGCGGCCCAAACTAACTCATTCACCAACCACCAGAACTAAACAAACTCACCCGCCAACCAACCAACAAAACTATTCACTCACTCGCCATCAGAACCACTCATTCGCCAACAGAACCACTCACTCACCAACAGAACCACTCATTCGCCAACAGAACCGCTCACTCACCAACGGAACCACTCACTCGCCAATAGAACCACTCACTCGCCACAGAACAACTCACTCGCCAACAGAACCACTCACTCACTTACAGAACCACTCACTCACTCACCAACAGAATCACTCATTCGCCAACAGAACCACTAACTCGCCAACAGAAACACTCACTCACAAACAGAACAACTCACTCATTCGCCAACAGAAACACTCATTCGCCAACAGAACCACCCACTCACTCACTGACGCAATAGGCTCTCAATGGTAGTTTCTCAACAACTCACGACTGTCCTCGCTGTACTTGAAATAGTGGACATCAGAGGGCGCGCTGGTAAACTTGACGTTATCGCTTGTTGTGTAAGTGATAGGAATTGTCCACTTGTACCTTAGAGGGAAACTTCAAAATATTACCCACTGGGGCACGGATATAGGTGAAGATATATTGATCATTATACATCTTCCAGCTGCTTGGCAACTTCGTTACAATGGGTTTTTTTATTGTTTGCCAAAAGGTCCACAGCAAAGTGACGCAATATGATGTAAATAACGAATGAAAACATCCATTTGAAAGCCATCCTCTTCATGACGGCAAAAGTACATCAAAATTAAAACAGATTGCACCAACCAAGGCCAACCCTTCTCTACATGCGCCAGGACCTATTTCAATCAGCATCCCCATGTTGAGTCGATGGTGTCTGTCCCATATATAGAGTATGGTACGCAATATCATCGCTGCAGTTAATTTATAATGGATCGCATTTGCGAACGCTTACTAACCTATTTAGTATGTCATATCAAAATGTTTCTTGTTTTTTGTTCAAATTCTATAACACATCAATAAGAATTGACTTATGCTGATTTTTTCCCCCGAGTTCGGTAAAGAAAGTCGTCGTCATGAGCGACTAAAGGGCGGGCAACTCCATAGTATCGCGGTATCGCCATTTTGTGGTCTGATACATGTTGATTGCGTGGTTTACATCACTTCTTGTTTTGGATTATGGATAATCAATATGCATACGGCCTAGGTTGCGTCAAGGAACATCTTCCAACCAAATGGGTTCTTTTCTAACCAATTTCGAATGGAGGTAGGGGTAAGTCCACTTCGAAAAGTTAAGTTATCATAGAAAAGTTAACGTATATACTTACGAGTAGCCGTGGCATACAGCAACGAGGCCTGTATTCGATCAAGTGATGAAATATCGTGCTTAGATTTGCATAAGGTAACAGTCGACAGGGGTATGGATGACGAGATTTAACGATACCGCGAAATTATAGAGCCCGCGGTAATATAGAGTCAATCGATAGCATGTGATGGGTATTACTTGTACAAGGAATGCTCAGTTAGCCATATCAATTTATAGGTTAAACATATCGTACCCATATTTTCCAGCATCCTGGTCGGGATTTTCCCCACCCGAAGACAGAAATCGTTCCTGTGTTAGAGTTACCGTTCCTGATCCTACAGTAACATGGACGACAGGGTAGTTCATCTGAGTTACCCAGGAGTCCATGATTTCCGTCATGTCCAGATCTACTGAGTTGGCCTGGGCTTCTTGAAGAGATGACGAAACAGTAATAATAACAACAACAATCTACATGTGATGTCATCACACATACATCTAGGAAAATGTTAAGCACAACCTCTACCAGTTTTATCTCTAACGTGTACATTTGAGATGACCTCGTTTGGACATTGTCTAAGAAATCATCGATACATCCTGAGTATTTGGTCATATTTATTTTCTGTTATTCCAGTTATATGTCTGTAAATAATTACGTTTGGGCCAGAATATCTACTGATTGACACCATAGGCATCGATCTACGGAACTTGGATATGATGACATACACCAAGAAAGTCAGCGAGGCTGACCGCGAGAACCCGTTACGACAAACGAACAGTGTCTTCAGTGTGACGCGCGAACGCTTTAACCACGAAGTTGCGCCACCACTCTCACCAAGCTGAAGCATTAGAAATCGTGATGAACTAAATGATTTGTGTAAATGATACTTATCTCTGTCAAGGCCTTCCACAGGTCGTTGTGTTCAGCATTACCAAAGGCATTTGTTGCAAGGTAGCGCTGATAAGACACAAATGTATCGAATTAACAAAGTAATGTCATGCAAGGAAGCGTGCAGGTAAGGGATTGATGGTTTGATACTGTCTTTCAAAAAACTGATTTTGTCTCATGTATGTCTTGAATAGAATAGAATATTCTGTCTCTGACAAAGCTCCCAGGCCGTATTTCATAGCGTTTACGTTAGAACAAAGCCACACATTGTTTGGAGTACCTGTGAACCTATGAATAGTACATGTAATTGTTATGGCTGTCAACAGAAGATTAACTAATCTTTTAAATTTTCGAATGCATTATTGTCAAAGTTTAATTGACTCTATTTTTGTACAATCTTGATTTCTATGCTTGACCAACCCATGTTACATAAAGCATGTTATACAATACCCTAGAGAGGAAAGTTATTACATTAATTACATAAGTGCTTTAAAGCCAGATAAAATTAGCCTTTACAAAAAGCAGCATGGTTTGATCAAAGTCGTGTCCTACACTTTCACAATTGGCCAACTTTTATCAGTTTAACTCACGTTCAATCCTTTAATAAACAAGTCCTGCCCCATCACGAGGTGCATCATACGCACGATAGCGGCGCCCTTAAGAACAAAAATAGTATTTGTTAGTTTTCCTACACCTGGGCATAATAATAAAAATAACAACAATAATAATAATTTTGTTGATGGATCTGTACTGCTTGACGGTACGGATATGAGTGTCAACCAAGCAAAGTACCATATCAAGTCGGCCCAGACTTTTAAAGGAGAGGCTATCTGAACGACCAATGCATCGAATTTATGTCCAATGTGTTGAGAAGATCAGCAATCCTGCAGAGTCCTTTGCTTGGATGAAGTCGTCTGGCCTGAAAAGTGAAACAGAAGGCTTTCTGTTTGCTGCTCAGGACCAGTCACTTCCCAGTGTGATTTTGCATCAAAATGTAAAAATGAAATGTAGATTATGCAATGAATTTAATGGGACTGTCCACCACATTGTCTGTGGATGCCCAGCTTTGGCACAAACAAGTATCTTGAGCGACATGCTGACGTCGCTCGATCCTTTTATTACCGTCTTCGCCACGCTTGTGGTTCTGACTCAGAGGTCCATCCATGGTACGACCCAGAATATATAGAGGGCGTCATGGAAAACGATAAATACAAAATTCTTTGGAATGGGCTTGTACATGGCCTCAGACCTTTCCAGGCCAACAAACCTGTTCGTGTTCTTTTTGATAAATCCAATGAAATTATTTATAGTTACTTTCTGTCCCTTTTGACACTAATGCCATTGACAAGATTGAGGAAAAACATGGCTAATCTGCAGACCTCGCTTTTGAAATGTCACGTTTGCATCCCAAGTACCAAGTTGTCCGACTCCCCATTGTTCCCGGTACCTTAGGTTTGGTACCTTAGGTTCGAATGTGTTGCCAGGAATGCAGCCCTTTTGACAATCGGGGTAATGCAGAAGGCTGCAGTGTGGGGGAAATATTCTATGAACAGTTCTGGCAGGGTTTGACAAGGCAGCGCTTCCTGGGAGAAGTCCCTTTCACTGTCTGGGCTGTGAGTAGAGAGGGCAAGGGCCCTAAGCTGATGATGAGCCTAACCAACCTGACTGTGCCAGGATCACCCAAACCCTCTTTGCTGCATTAATTTATCATCATCAGCATCATCAGCATCATCATCATCAGCATCATCATCATCATCATCATCATCATCATCATCATCGTCATCATCATCATAATTGGCCCACGATCAATCATTCCAGACGCCATATTATTTGGGCTTTCTGTCAACCGGGAGGGCTCGATCACATGACCCTGTGACCCCATGTACATGTAGCACATACCTTAGAGTATGTGACACTGTCAAATATAGAGCTGATATCTCCCGGTGACATGACGTCAGCAGTGAGGGGATGCGATGACGTCAGACTGTCGGATGACATCACACCGTGAGTGCTTGCAGCAACATTGATGTCCAGCTGAAACAAAACAACTGATACTGACCTTCCCCTCCTGGTTGTGTATGTCTACAGCGTGCCTTAGGTCTTAGGCGAACATTATAACACATGCTTGCAAAATACCAAAAGTAATATACCATCTAAACAAAAGCAGGTACGTATACAGAACTTTAAGTTTTTAATTTATATGTCATGCCATATTGTGTTTAATGGTCATAAACTAATTTAATTGTCCTTTACATGCGACAAAATACGATTAAGAGGCTTGGCACATCCTCGGTTATTCAATATGATCAGATGCTGCTTTGCTTATTTGTTGCTGAATTAATGTGGTATTATAATTTTCATTACTGCATGTCTATGGTTATTAAATTTGTATTTCTGAAATGATATGGTGTTTTTCTTTTTTAGAGTCCGATCCAGATACAGACCACCTCTATAATCTCCATTAACCTACCATCTTCCAGCTTGGGTAGATCTCTGCAACTATGTGGTAGTCAAGAAAGGATGCAAATCCTTCGTTTAACCACAACCAGCTCCACCACTTTGGCGACACCAGGTTACCGAACCACTGATCACAGAAAGGTAGACGTTTGTACACAATACTAATACTAATACTTACAAGAATAATAACAATACCGGTGAGTATATAGTTATAGGAAAATGGAAGAAGAGGAGAATAAGAAGGAAAAGAAGGTGAAGAGGGAAGAAGAGGAGGGAAGAAGGAGAACAAAAGGAGGAAGCTGATGAGAAGAGTGCAAAGAAGGAAGAAGAGAGGAGATGAAGAAAGAAAAGAAGGCAAAGAAGAGAGGAGCAGGTGAAGGAGGAGAAGAAAGAGGAGAAGAAGGCAAAGAAGGCAAAGAAGGAAGAAGAGAAGGAAGAAGAGAGGAGCAGATGAAGGGTGAAGGAGAAGGCAAAGAAGGAAGAAGAGCAGAGCAGATTAAGGAGGAGAAGAAAAAGAAGAAGAAGGAGAAGAAGTCAAAGAAGGAAGAAGAGAGGAGCAGATTAAGGAGGAGCAGCAGGAAGAGCAGAAGAAGAAGGAGCTGACGAAGAAGTGGAAGGAGGAGGAGAGAAAGAACAGAAGCAAATTAAGAAGACGAAGAAGGAGGAGGAAGAAGAAGGAGGAGCAACATATTTGTTATCCCTAAATTTGATGATCAGGGCGATATCATTGGAAAGACTTCTGCCCGTATTAAGGGGTGTTTTTATTGTATCTATGCATTTAATAACACCTGACACATCAGTTATGTTTTATGACAGACAAAGGTGACAAGACAATACTATCGTTAAAGTTTCCTGCACACCAAAATGAGAATCATACCATATGTGAAATCTCGTGGGCGATGACCTCCGCTATCCAGTTCTCATCAGAGGCTGAGGAGACCCCAGGTTCATAGAGTAGAGCTTCCCTGTAGGGGATGAGACCCCAACTCTCCGTAGCTCCAGCCACGAAGTCGGGGATGACGATGTTGTCTATTATGTAGATTTCGGTAGGATTTTATGTATTTGTTGTTTAAAGACGCACAAAGCAATATTGCAACTATATGACGTCAACTTATTAATCATAGGGTCTGTGCCAGAAAAAAACAAAGTGACTGAAATCATCAGCAAAGACACGCCATCAAGAAAGTCCAAATAATGTGGGTCACTACTTTAGTACTTACAACAAGCATGTGTTTGGTACTGACAAACCTAGAAACATAATCAGGGGTTTCGCACCTCTGAACATCGAAATGCCGGGCTCCTCTTGCCTCCTAACAACATACATGTATGTGTCCCTGTATAATGATTGATGGTGAGTAGCCAAGTTGTGAATGCGTTGGCTCTTGACGCCGATGACCCGGACTCGATTGGCCCCTGTTGCAGTATTGGGATCATGCTAAGGTATTGTTACAAGATGCGTAAAATCTCACTCACTCACTCACTCACTCACTCACTCACTCACTCACTCACCCACTCACCCACTCACCCACTCACCCACTCACCCACTCACTCACTCACTCACTCACTCACCCAGTCACTCACTCACTCACTCACTCCAAATGAATTTTGGGTGCTCAGCAGTGTTCGAAATAAGCATATTATGTGTAATGTTGAAGCTAACCAACCCAGTTTATCGTACACATAGGCAGGCTGGAAGTACTCGGATAATCTGTTAAACATCTTGATCCCATGCATCTGAGCCTTGTCTGCATATTGAATCTTCTTGGGCATCGCAAAGGTCCGATACTGAAAGTAGCAGTGTGTCATGTACAAGCAAATCAAGACGCCTTAAACTGGGAGTGTCTGTCATGTACAAGCAAATCAAGACGCCCTGAACTGGGAGTGTCTATCATGTACAAGCAAGTCAAGACGCCCTAAACTGGAAGTTTCTATCATGTACAATCAAGTCAAGGCGCCCTAAACTGGGAGCGTCTATCATGTACAAGCAAGTCAAGACGCCATAAACTTGGAGTGTCTATCGTGTACAAGCAAGTCAAGGCGCCCTGAACTGGGAGTGTCTGTCATGTACAAGCAAGTCAAGATGCCCTAAACTGGGACTGTCTATCATGTACAAGCAAGTCAAGGCGCCCTGAACTGGGAGTGTCTATCATGTACAAGCAAGTCAAGACGCCCTAAACTGGGAATGTCTGTCATGTACAAGCAAGTCAAGACGCCCTGAACAGGGAGTGTCTATCATGTACAAGCAAGTCAAGATGCCCTAAACTGGGAGTGTCTATCATGTACAAGCAAGTCAAGGCGCCCTGAACTGGGAGTGTCTATCATGTACAAGCAAGTCAAGACGCCCTAAACTGGGAATGTCTGTCATGTACAAGCAAGTCAAGGCGCCCTGAACAGGGAGTGTCTATCATGTACAATCAAGTCAAGACGCCCTAAACTGGGAGCGTCTATCATGTACAAGCAAGTCAAGGCGCCCTAAAATTGGAGTGTCTATCATGTACATTCAAGTCAAGACGCCCTGAACTGGGAGTGTCTATCATGTACAAGCAAGTCAAGGCGCCCTAAAATTGGAGTGTCTATCATGTACAATCAAGTCAAGGCGCCCCGAACAGGGAGTGTCTATCATGTACAATCAAGTCAAGGCGCCCTAAACTGGGAGTGTCTATCATGTACAATCAAGTCAAGACGCCCTGAACTGGGAGTGTCTATCATGTACAATCAAGTCAAGATGCCCTAAACTGGGAGTGTCTATCATGTACAAGCAAGTCAAGGCGCCCTGAACTGGGAGTGTCTATCATGTACAAGCAAGTCAAGACGCCCTAAACTGGGAATGTCTGTCATGTACAAGCAAGTCAAGGCGCCCTGAACAGGGAGTGTCTATCATGTACAATCAAGTCAAGACGCCCTAAACTGGGAGCGTCTATCATGTACAAGCAAGTCAAGGCGCCCTAAAATTGGAGTGTCTATCATGTACATTCAAGTCAAGACGGCCTAAACTGGGAGTGTCTATCATGTACAAGCAAGTCAAGGCGCCCTAAAATTGGAGTGTCTATCATGTACAATCAAGTCAAGGCGCCCCGAACAGGGAGTGTCTATCATGTACAATCAAGTCAAGGCGCCCTAAACTGGGAGTGTCTATCATGTACAATCAAGTCAAGACGCCCTGAACTGGGAGTGTCTATCATGTACAATCAAGTCAAGACGCCCTAAACTGGGAGTGTCTATCACGTACAAGCAAGTCAAGGCGCCCTAAACTGGGACTGTCTATCATGTACAAGCAAGTCAAGGCGCCCTGAACTGGGAGTGTCTATCATGTACAAGCAAGTCAAGACGCCATAAACTGGGAGTGTCTGTCATGTACAATCAAGTCAAGGCGCCCTAAACTGGGAGTGTCTATTATGTACAATCAAGTCAAGGCGCCCTAAACTGGGAGTGTCTATCATGTACAAGCAAGTCAAGACGCCCTAAACTGGGTGTGTCTATCATGTACAATCAAGTCAAGGCGCCCTGAACAGGGAGTGTCGATCATGTACAAGCAAGTGAAAACGCCCTAAACAGGGAGTGTCTATCATGTACAATCAAGTCAAGACGCCCTAAACTGGGAGTGTCTATCATGTACAAGCAAGTCAAGACGCCCTAAACTGGGAGTGTCTGTCATGTGCAATCAAGTCAAGTCGCCCTAAACTGGGAGTGTCTATCGTGTACAAGCAAGTCAAGACGCCCTAAACTGGGAGTGTCTATCATGTACAATCAAGTCAAGACGCCCTAAACTGGGAGTGTCTATCATGTACAAGCAATTCAAGACGCCCTAAACTGGGAGTGTCTATCGTGTACAAGCAAGTCAAGAAGCCCTAAACTGGGAGTGTCTATCCTATACAAGCAAGTCAAGACGCCCTGAACTGGGACTGTCTATCATGTACAAGCAAGTCAAGACGCCCTTAACTGGGAGTGTCTATTATGTACAATCAAGTCAAGGCGCCCTGAACTGGGAGTGTCTATCATGTACAAGCAAGTCAAGACCCCTTAATCTGGGAGTGTCTATCATGTACAATCAAGTCAAGGCGCCCTGAACAGGGAGTGTCTATCATGTACAATCAAGTCAAGGCGCCCTAAACTGGGAGTGTCTATCATGTACAATCAAGTCAAGGCGCCCTGAACTTGGACTGTCTATCATGTACAATCAAGTCAAGACGCCCTAAACTGGGAGTGTCTATTATATACCATCAAGTCAAGGCGCCCTGAACTGGGAGTGTCTATCATGTACAATCAAGTCAAGGCGCCTTAAACTGGGAGTGTCTATCATGTACAAGCAAGTCAAGACGCCCTAAACAGGGAGTGTCTATCATGTACAATCAAGTCAAGACGCCCTGAACAGGGAGTGTCGATCATGTACAAGCAAGTGAAAACGCCCTAAACAGGGAGTGTCTATCATGTACAATCAAGTCAAGACGCCCTAAACTGGGAGTGTCTATCATGTACAAGCAAGTCAAGACGCCCTAAACTGGGAGTGTCTGTCATGTGCAATCAAGTCAAGTCGCCCTAAACTGGGAGTGTCTATCGTGTACAAGCAAGTCAAGACGCCCTAAACTGGGAGTGTCTATCATGTACAATCAAGTCAAGACGCCCTAAACTGGGAGTGTCTATCATGTACAAGCAATTCAAGACGCCCTAAACTGGGAGTGTCTATCGTGTACAAGCAAGTCAAGAAGCCCTAAACTGGGAGTGTCTATCCTATACAAGCAAGTCAAGACGCCCTGAACTGGGACTGTCTATCATGTACAAGCAAGTCAAGACGCCCTTAACTGGGAGTGTCTATTATGTACAATCAAGTCAAGGCGCCCTGAACTGGGAGTGTCTATCATGTACAAGCAAGTCAAGACGCCTTAATCTGGGAGTGTCTATCATGTACAATCAAGTCAAGGCGCCCTGAACAGGGAGTGTCTATCATGTACAATCAAGTCAAGGCGCCCTAAACTGGGAGTGTCTATCATGTACAATCAAGTCAAGGCGCCCTGAACTTGGACTGTCTATCATGTACAATCAAGTCAAGACGCCCTAAACTGGGATTGTCTATTATATACCATCAAGTCAAGGCGCCCTGAACTGGGAGTGTCTATCATGTACAATCAAGTCAAGGCGCCTTAAACTGGGAGTGTCTATCATGTACAAGCAAGTCAAGACGCCCTAAACAGGGAGTGTCTATCATGTACAATCAAGTCAAGACGCCCTAAACTGGGAGTGTCTATCATGTACAAGCAAGTCAAGACGCCCTGAACTGGGAGTGTCTATCATGTACAATCAAGTCAAGACGCCCTGAACAGGGAGTGTCTATCATGTACAAGCAAGTCAAGACGCCCTAAACTGGGAGCGTCTATCATGTACAAGCAAGTCAAGACACCCTAAACTGGAAGTTTCTATCATGTACAATCAAGTCAAGGCGCCCTGAACTGGGAGCGTCTATCATGTACAAGCAAGTCAAGACGCCCTAAACTGGGTGTGTCTATCATGTACAATCAAGTCAAGGCGCCCTGAACAGGGAGTGTCTATCATGTACAAGCAAGTGAAGACGCCCTAAACTGGGAGTGTCTATCATGGACAATCAAGTCAAGGCGCCCTGAACTGGGAGTGTCTATCATGTACAAGCAAGTGAAGACGCCCTAAACTCGGAGTGTCTATCATGTACAATCAAGTCAAGACGCCCTAAACTGGGAGCGTCTATCATGTACAAGCAAGTCAAGACGCCTTAAACTGGGAGTGTCTGTCATGTGCAATCAAGTCAAGTCGCCCTAAACTGGGAGTGTCTATCATGTACAAGCAAGTCAAGACGCCCTAAACTGGGAGTGTCTATCATGTACAATCAAGTCAAGACGCCCTAAACTGGGAGTGTCTATCGTGTACAAGCAAGTCAAGACGCCCTAAACTGGGAGTGTCTATCGTGTACAAGCAAGTCAAGAAGCCCTAAACTGGGAGTGTCTATCCTATACAAGCAAGTCAAGACGCCCTGAACTGGGAGCGTCTATCATGTACAAGCAAGTCAAGACGCCCTAAACTGGGAGTGTCTATTATGTACAATCAAGTCAAGGCGCCCTGAACGGGGAGTGTCTATCATGTACAAGCAAGTCAAGACGCCTTAATCTGGGAGTGTCTATCATGTACAATCAAGTCAAGGCGCCCTGAACAGGGAGTGTCTATCATGTACAATCAAGTCAAGACGCCCTAAACTGGGAGTGTCTATCATGTACAATCAAGTCAAGGCGCCCTGAACTTGGACTGTCTATCATGTACAATCAAGTCAAGACGCCCTAAACTGGGAGTGTCTATTATATACCATCAAGTCAAGGCGCCCTGAACTGGGAGTGTCTATCATGTACAATCAAGTCAAGGCGCCTTAAACTGGGAGTGTCTATCATGTACAAGCAAGTCAAGACGCCCTAAACTGGGAGTGTCTATCAAGTACAAGCAAGTCAAGGCGCCCTGAACTTGGAGTGTCTGTCATGTGCAAGCAAGTCAAGAAGCCCTAAACTGGGAGTGTCTATCCTATACAAGCAAGTCAAGGCGCCCTGAACTTGGAGTGTATAAACATACGACCTTATTTATGGCCATAAGAGAGTAGAAGTCGCTGTAATTCACAACTTGTCCACATATCATATCGACTGTTTACACGTCATGTGAATTTCGGATATAAGAAATGAATCAATGTTTACACCACTGAGTGGCATTTCTTATGATACTCATATTGTACTCATCCGTCACATTCACTGATTATGCATTAACACAACATATTGCATCAGTGAGTATGAGTGTTGGTTTTCACGCCATGCATCTGCGATACCCCACGGAGTTTCACCTCCATCAATTTACCTAGGTGAGGTGAGGTGAGGTGAGGTGAGGTGAGGTGAGGTGAAATGGGGTTTAACGTCGCGTCCAAGATTATTGCACTTATATAGCGACGTGCATGTACGTGTGTGTGTTTGTGTGGCTGCTTGTACTAGTCCAGACTGATGCCGATTTATAGTGCTAGCTCACTGAGATACCATGCCGCAGTTTAACATGAATACCCCACTCAGACACAGTATACTGACTCCGAGCCGACCAGTCCTTGGTTTAGCCCCTTAATGCCGAGGGCCAGACTAGGTAACAACAAGTACCATCGTTTAACGTCTTTTGGTATGACGTGGTCGGGGATCGAGCCCCGGACCTTCCGCTCTCCGCGCGGACGCTCTACTACTAGACCAAGGAGGCGGTCGATACCCCGCGGAGTTTCACCTCCATTAATTTATGACATATACCATGCATTCGTCGCCAAACCGGAAATGACGTCACCACAACTGAGCCCAGCATTTCTAACGCTAATGAGCGAAATTTGATTTGACGGCCATTCTTAGTTTGTTCATAAGATCGACGATTGTATACTTTGAGATGAATATGCATTCTTTTTATCAAATTCATCCAATATAGTACATGCAGGTTGACGATGTATTTTGAGTGAGAGAGTTGCATCTTTGGTTTCACTTTTATCAGTTTCACCGAAGTGGTAAACGTCTGAGACCTGCATCACTTCGGGGTTTCCTCCCAGGTTAAGCTGACACGCCGCGATATAACTGGAATACTGTTCAAAGCGGCGTTAAACCCAACTCACTCACTCACTCACTCACACAGTTATATCACAGCGTGTCAGCTTATTCTTTGAAGAAAGTCCGAAGATAAGTAGATCGTAAAGACGAAACTAACGGGTATGGTGCTGACCATTATTATGGTGAATCTGAGATTCGAACTCACAAATAGCAAATTCTTGAATGATCAGGTAGCAAAATTTTGCACTGAGAATTGCGGCGCCTTAGACGACAGAGTCAGTTTGTATAGGTGAGTAAATGAGTATGACTTTGGTCTGTACCAAACAGTCCAGTGGTTGATATCATGAGCATCGATCCATGCAATTGGGATACGATGACATGCATCAACCAAGTCAGCGAGCCTGACCACCCGATCTGTTACTCGCCTCTTACGACAAGCACAGTCGCCTTTTACGGCAAGCATGGGTTGCTGAAGATCTATTCTACCCCGGATCTTCACGCGTCCTCAGTGTGTATAAGTTATGTTAGCTTTGCTGTGAGGATAAGAATTATAAATTTTGTTTTGGCACTGACTCGCCAAGATTCACAAAAGGAGCATTTAGTGATGCTTACAGTAACACCGCTTGCAATATCTTCCAAGTACTCGTAGTCGCATACGATGAACGCTAGGAGGTACGTTGACATCATCACCGTCCTCTCAAATGTCTCTGCAACCATCCCGTTACTGCAACACAAGAACGGAGTTTCCTTTTTTTCAGAAAAATGCTGATGATAGTTTCATTTGAAATTGAGATCGTCCCACTTCTCAAAAAATAACGAACAGAAATAATTTACCTCAAACACAAAAATCTTAAAATAATAGTAAGGTAACAAAAAAATCTTATTCAATTTTCTCTTTGTTTTTCCTTACCTAGCCGGTTCAGTCTTGAGGCGTGGGGCGTTGGAGAGGGCTGTGTAATTCCTACCCCCTCCCTCCCTTCTCAGCAGGGTGATATCAAACTGGGCTTTCAGTGCAGGCTCGTCAAAGCAGGGAAACGCCTTCCTTGCGTGTGGAGCCTCGAACTTGGTTGTCGCCAGGTAGCTGAACAACGGAGGAAATTCAGCAGTCAACACCACCAACGTCAATACGATAAAATAGTTTGTGGAATATTGTGAAATCGTTATGAAGAAATTATGATCTAATTATTCCACGTCTATTGAATAGAAACACATTATACGATATTAGATATACGAGATGACATGATATGATATACTATACGATTCGATATATGACGGATGATTTATGCTAAGATAAGACACGATGGTGTATGGGAAATGATACGATGCGGTATCCTTGTGATATGATGTATGATAGATAACATGATATATGATACGGAAAATATGATATATGACTGAGAATAGGTTGTGATACCATAAGAAATTTGAGAAGAGCTATGATTCAATACGATATGCTAGGATACGACGGGAAATGATACAATACTATTTGGTATGAGTATATGTGATACGATACGGCATGATATATGATATATAACAACGCCATGACATGAAATAATCTAATATTATAGATAAAAGATATGATATGATATGATATGATATGATATGATATGATATGATATGATATGATATATGATATGATATGGTATGATACGAAAAGTCACGACATCAGGGATCTCATCTGACATGATACGATACGATACGATACGCATTAGCTATCATATAATGATTCGATATGACGATACGATGAACTTACACTGTCTGACCATTCTCATCATACTGGGCAAAGTAAAGTCCAGTTCCTGAGTCGGACAACGGTGCCCCGAAACTGATGTCAATCTGGTAGAGGTGCCCCACAACCAGCCGTTGCGCCAGGTGCAGTGTATAAAACTCCCGCACCGCTTCATAGGATGAACCGGCCACGCCCACTAGAGACGATGTGTTCCCATCCCACACTCGGAGGCTTGAATTATCGATATTTAGCGAAGGGTGGGCATGGAATGTTATAGTCATAGAAGCGTCTTCGGCAACTGTGTCTATTTTCACATTTCCTTGAAAATCAAAGTTGTCTTTGTTTTCGCCATATATGTTTGGATAGAGAACAAGGGTGTAGAGATACGGTCGGGTGGATATAGGGAGGCGGTAGTTCAGAGGAGTGTCTGTCGACGCTGGTGTAGATGGAGGAGTTGATGCTGGGGAGTCATCGGAGCACACATCACCTGGAACAGCAGGTGTTTTTGAAAGAGGCATATTTCAGTTTCAGTGTTAGGGAAGCCGGAAGTCAGGTCTCAGGTGTTTAATTAGGACAGATCACAGGTTTCTGGGACTTCTAAGGGGCGCAACTCTGCAACTCTCTCTCACACATACACACGCTTGTCAAGGAAGTCCGTGCACTGATGTTGATTGTCAAAGTAGGTAATACATATATCATAAACTTGCGTTTTGCACATAATAACACACCATTAATGTAGTCATATATTAAAAACAATCTGCTGCTCGTAGTACAAGTATGAAACTTTATAAATCCTAATGATTTAATCTGATTTACCAGGCTGGTGAGAATTAAACAATTTACTATGATGACATATGTGAAATCATTTAGTTTGCCAATATTATTTTGCATTTAAGTAGCATCAAATATACTATTCATGTTTGTAATACATTTGGTTGCAGCAGTTGAACAGTATTTCAGTCATAAATTGTTTGATAGGCATTACTTAGAAGTTGACGGATGACAAGGTAGACACAATTTTATGGATAACAGTATTAAAGATATCCATAAAATTGTGTCTACCTTGTATTTCAGTCATATCATATCGTGTCCTTTTGATGTGAGAGAAAAACACGAAGTTCAGGTTGGACTGGTCTACCATTGTGAACCAAAGAACGCGGATTACAAAGTGGACGAAGTTCGCGGGTAACAATATCTTTAAGACACTATTATAGCGACGTGTCGGTATAGATACTTACACCTTTATCAAGCAAAAGAAAAACAAAACAAAACAAACAAACAAAAAAACAGAATCAGGGCTAATCTGGGGTTAGAACTAACGATCGTCGGTTTCTGAGGGCAGCTCTACACGGCACATTTCGGCGTCTTAGAATTAACACATCTTGTACTCACATATTTTCTCTCCCGCGCCCTTCTTTGTCATGTCAATACACATCTGTGTCATGGCCTCGGGGGTGCTGATCTCGGGGGTGTTGTCACACCGACACACCAATCCCTGACTCCCAGCAAAGTGGACAACTACCCCCACTCCCACGGACAGTGCCACCAGCAGCATCAGCAGAATGAAGCCATGGATGGTGGAGACATAAAACCCTGTTTGTCGTTGTGAGCGGACTGCAGATTCTTCAGTGATGGGCACGGTGGAGTCTGACATGGCGGCAGATTCACGTACCTTGTCTGGAGACCCGGTGAAAGACACCAGTGGGATCTTGTCCGTGCATCTGGCAGTCAGTATTTATAGTAGCGCCAGGTATGATGTGTCTGTGTACAATTGGACGGGAGATACAAATCAACAAACCAGGGCATGGATACATAGAGGTTATCACGCGAGTGTGTTTGGGGATGGTAAATATCCTGCATTAGGAATAAACACTATGTATTAAGCTCGCCAAGGCTCGCTAAATACAATGTTTATTCCTAATGCAGGATATTTCCCATCCCCAAACACACTATGCATTTAGCTCGCCAAGGCTCGCTAAATACAATGTTTATTCCTAATACAGGATATTTACCATCCCCAAACACACAAGCGGGATAACCTCTTTATCATTCTTTAATTCTGTGCTTTAAAATCGCTTTCCCTCTCTCAGAAACATTACCGAAACATTGCGAGTTTTCCTGGAATGCGCGCATTATTATTTATTACGTCACAGGGTAAGTGATGTGTCAGTCGGACAGTGACAGTAGCCAATATAGTTCCAACTGAAATCTGTTACTTATACAGTGGCGAAGCAACATATACGCAAAACAACAGTTGTTTTTAAGTGCCTTTCGCGGCAATCCATCGGTCTATCCGCTAGAGTAACTGCCCTTTGTCAAAGGGAAGCTACTCTAACCCAAGTCTATGAGACGTCACAGCCACGGTCAGACGTTGTTGACAGTCGGTCTGTCTTGTCATAACGTTAAGAAGTGTAGTCAGATATGCACACAGCGACAAAACGAAACAAGGTAACAATTCAAACATATTTCGGCCAAATCCAACTATTTTGATTTGTGGAGAAGGTTTCAAGCCGCAGAAGTCTACAAGCGGAGATATGGCTACTGATCCCGCTTTGCTAGGCCTCTTGCCCTCGCAAAATTGTTTCGAAATTTATATCTCCAAAGTTGCAAAAACTTAAATGCCTTAGCTACGTCACAGTTAGACACATTTAGACACGTCAGTATATTAGACTGTTCTTTTGATAATGATAGTAATTATCCCTGTAGTTTATCCAGATTCCGAATGGTTAATTCTGACTCGATCGCCGAATGACGAGGGCGACGCCATGTTTGTTTATAAACAGTGAAAGTAGTGACTTGACTTTTGATATTTGCATCTCTATCCGCATATGACTCGACCCCAACGGATATCGTTTTTATCCGTTGGCTTTATCCTGCCGAGAAACCTACCCATTATATGATAAACAACAATATATCAGGTAGTGATAGATATATGTAAACAAACGGCTTCACACCGTGTTGGGCAGCTAAGTGGTTTAAACGTTCTCTTATCTCGCGGAGTGCCCGAGTTTGACTCCCCAGATGAATATAATGCATACAGCCCTTTCCTGGTGTCCCCGATGTGATATTGCTGTATTTTTGGTAAATCGGTCATGCATACCCACTAACTCATTTTGCACACGTCAATAATGTCAAAGAAGGCAAATTACCACGCAGAGGAACAGAAACATATGCTATATGGGAAGTGAGTATGTGAGTATGTTTGTACGCCGCTTTTAGCAATATTCCAGCAATATCGCGACGGGGGACACTAGAAATGGGCTTCACACATTGTACCCAAATGGGGAATCGAACCTGGGTTTTCGCCGTGACGCGCAACTGCTTTAACCACTAGGCTACCCCAACGACCCACAGTGATAGGGTTTTATGATACCAAGCCAGCCCGATAATTAAACTTTTTTTGTATTTGAGGTGAGGGGGTGAGGGTGAGGTAAAATGGGGTTTAACGTCGTGTCCACGATTATTGCACTTATATAGCGACGTGCATGTGTGTGTGCGTGTGTGTGTTCGTGCGTCTGTGTCTGCTTGTCCTAGTCCGGACTGATGCCGATTCATAGTGCTAGCCCACTGAGATACCATGCCGCAGTTTAACATGAATACCCCACTCAGACAGTATACTGACTCCAAGCCGACCAGTCCTTGTTTTAGCCCCTTAGTGCCGAAGAGTGAAACAAGAAGTACCATCTTGTAACATCTTTTGGTATGACACGGCCGGGGAACGAACCCCGGACCTTCCGCCGCTCTCCAGTCTTCTTGTATTGGACGAGTGGTCGGTTACATGACCAGTAAACTGATGTTGATACGCCACATTCCGGTACAGCCTGCAACAAGCATACAGTCTTTATGCTACAACTGCGCTGGTATGACAGCCCATCTTTACACATCAAAGTGTCCGGATGGCTAGCTACCCAAAGGGCTCAGTGGAACCGTACAACCATTGTAAATCAAGGATAAATGCGAAAATGGAAAAACGTTTTTCACGTTTTATGATATTTTGTCAACAATGTTAACAATGCCATAACATGTTTTCTGGGGGTGTCACGATAAATCGAAATATCGATATATTGCTATAGTGAGGCAATAAATCGATTGTTAAATCAGTTTTCGATTAATAGTATCGATTTCAGTTAGGAATATCGATAGTTTCGATTGCATTTACCATATCAATAAAATATGCAATGCTGTTCAAATTGGTTTTTCTTTAGTGGTAGTTATTTACACATGGTAATGTGGAAGTTTCTTTTTCTTAAATTATTAGGGTAAAGAAAAAACAAAACAGTCGTATCTCAAACTCTAAAATCCATCTCAAATGATACACTGAAAACTATCGATATTTATCGCAATAGCTCCTTGCTCCAGACAATCCAGTGATTGATATCATGATCATCGACCAACGCAATTGGGATATGATGACATGCATCAACCAAGTCAGCGAGCCTGACCACCCGATACCGTTTGTCGCCTGTTCATCGACATTCAGATCACCCTTAGGGAGATTCAGGGTTATAACAGGTCTCCAGCACCCCATACGACTTAATCAGGTTGTCAGACTCGATTACTTGAGTGTCATCGTATCCTGACGGCGTGCGACGTTGCGCATAAACCAGGCGTAATTTAGTGTATGTGAACAAGGTTTTTGAGCGTAGCTGTACCCCAACCCAAGTTGAGATTGTGCAAGTCATCCAGCAAGGCCGCCACGTAGAGTAGATTTCGGATAACCCTGACCATGCAAGCAACAGGGTTTGTTTGTTTGCTCTCAACAGTATTCCAGCCACATAAAGGCGGCCTGAAAAAATGAGGCCAGGTATATTGCAGAGACATGTACACACTTTACTCTATTGCAGAGACACGTACACTCTTTTACTCTATTGCAGAGACAAGTGCACTCTTTTACACTATTGCAGAGACACGTACACTCTTTTACACTATTGCAGAGACACGTACACTCTTTTACTCTATTGAAGAGACGCATACACTCTTTTACTCTATTGAAGAGACGCATACACTCTTTTACTCTATTGCAGAGACACGTACACCCTTTTACTCTATTGTAGAGACACGTACACTCTTTTACTCTATTGCAGAGACATGTACACTCTTTTACACTATTGCAGAGACACGTACACTCTTTTACTCTATTGCAGAGACATGTACACTCTTTTACACTATTGCAGAGACACGTGCACTCTTTTACTCTATTGCAGAGACACGTGCACTCTTTTACTCTATTGCAGAGACATGTACACTCTTTTACACTATTGCAGAGACGCGTACACTGTTTTACTCTATTTCACTCACTCACTCTCTCACTCTCTCACTCAATCACTCAATCACTCAATCACTCAATCACTCACTCAATCACTCACTCGTCAGATGAACAGACCTCAAGAACGCAGCTATAACTTAGATTGTACATGTCACAGTGACCAGATCAATATTTGACTCCAGATAACAGCGTGTCGCAGTGTACACTTATAGTGCATCCTAGAGCACACCCGTACACTCAGGTAGAAGGTAAGTGTTTAATGAAACATGACATTCTGTTGTACATCAAATACCATTTTGTACGACTGTCCTAAATATGGATAATGATCTATAACAGTGTTGTTACTGTAGACAATATCAGTTTATCTTTACGGACTGATGCTGCATATGCCTGCATACAAATAGGCCTGTAGATTACCTACCCTTACCTGGAGACCCTCATTACATGTACCTCGTGATACTCGGGGGTTCAACGGTACATGTAGACCAACTGCTACTGTTGCAGTCTAGAGCACACCCGTAGAGTCAGGTATAAGGTATAAGGTAAGTGAGTGGTGACACAAGACATTCTGTTGTACATCAAATGCCATTGTGTACGACTGTCCTAGATATGGATAATGATGTATAGCAGTGGTACTACTGTGGGCCATATCAGTTTATCTTTGAGGACTGATGCTGCATATGCCCTCAAACAAAGCCTATAAATTACCTACCCTTACCTGGAGACCGCCATGTGGTTTTCAAGCGATTGTGCAACTTTGACACTTTAACTGTTATGGTCACATACTCCCTGTGTTTAATCTGTTTGAACTGGAGGGTGTTGTTTGAGTTCGTGTCAACGTTATCTCATATTTATTACCTACGAGGGCAAACATATCTGGGTTCATAAAAATCATATGTGCCCTTGTGTCATATCACGTCACGAAACAACAGTGTATTGTTTCCGTCATCCGGACCTCATTGTTGACGTCATATGAATCTTATTGTGACGTGAGGTCGGAATGACGTCACACTAGAAACGACGTCAAAGCTGAAAATTGTGATGTCATTCAACAAATTGTGGTTCCGCTGCTATTTGCTGTCCTTATTAGTAAACACTAAAATTCGTCTCTGTATAAAAACATCTTCGGTAATAAATAGAACATTATATGAATGTTAATGTCATACTATGTTTCCGACACTCGTGCCTAAATTCCGGTAAAAACTGGAATTTAGACACTCGTGTCATAAACATAGCATGACATGAAAACTCATATAATATCCTCTATATATATGTTAGAAGTACACCTCTATTCATCTAGCAGTAACTGCATACCTGACAAGAAGAGATGGCGATGGTCACCGTTAACCTTCTCGTGACTCACAGGCAGGTGGGCTTGTATACCACTC